AAAACCCCAAAACCCCAAAACCCCAAAACCCCAAAACCCCAAAACCCCATGCGATTGAATATCTGAGGAAAATGTATAAAGTTAACCAAGTTTTGAGTATTTAAGAAAAGTGGATCCTAACAATTATAATATTAACTTTAAAGTTTATATAATATCCAGTATTCATATGATAAGATCATCAACCCTTAAGGTACCTCCTATGTACCAACAACAGCAATAATAGATCAGCATCAAGCTTCAGTCAATGACAAAAACCAAGAGAATCAGGGAAATCCCATCTAGCTTTGCAGCCTTGAAATAAACAGTAGAGGCTCAAATCAAAGATGAGAGAGATAAGTCTCACATCGTTGACCCATCATTCAGAGACTACAGTATTAAATACGTGGACGGAGATTAAGAGCAAATCAACGTCTCTGATGATGAAGACCTTCTCACAGCCTATGATGTGGCTTCGAAAGAACTTAAAGGAAACATTAAGTTCTTTATTGAACTTAAGAAGATTCAGTCTCAACCACTCGTTCAAACACCTGTTTCTGAAAAAGAAAAGAAGCCGTTGAAAGAAAAGAAGGAAAAGAAAGACAAAAAGGATAAGAAATCTGATGAAAAAGCTCTCAAAAAGAAGGCAGAAAAAGAGGCTTTAAAGGCCCTTCTTAAGAAGGCTAAACATACAGTTGAGGAAGAGTAAATTCAATGTCAGCAAAGGTTATGTGAAAGAGCCCAAACTTTAGTCTAACCACAAGTTCACAACTAAGGCGTTGAAGATTCTGACTTTGATGAATCTGAAGAAGAAAAACTAACTCCTAAATGCTAGAAATAATGCAAAAAGAACCAAGGATTGCCACCTAGAAAAGCCTTGAAAGGATTAATCTTTAGAGAACTTGACAAAATTGCTCCATAAATTTTTGGAGAATTGATGAAATGCAAAGAACTTGGTTAGCATGCAGCTCATCATGAGCAAATAAACACATCTACTCTTATCCAGCATCCAAATGTTGCTTGTGATGGATGTGGAGTTGCTCCAATTATTGGAATCAGATACAAATGCTGCGTCTGCAATAACTTCGACTACTGTGAAGTGTGTGAAGAAAGACTTAATCATGAGCATCCATTCATCAAGATTTTAAGACCTGAAAATGCTCCTAAGACTATCATTACAGCCATTAACGATGACAATCCAGCCACTGAAGAAGTTCCTCAACAGGAGTAAACTCAAGAATAAACACATGGCCATGATCATAGTCTCCATGGACATCATGGACACCATGGCCATCATGGACATCATGGACACCATGGCCATCATGGACACCATGATCATCATGGAGGCAGAGGAGGATGGAGACATCACATGAAACACGCTGCTTAAAATCAGTAATGGAGATAAGTAGCAAATCATTGGATTGACATGGCAAAAGAATACCTTAATTCTGCTGAAGGAGAAGAGACAAAAGAAACTACTGAAGAAAACACTTGCTGGGGATTCGGAAAAGAAAGATCCAAGTGGTCTCAAATAAGAGCTGTTATCTTGAGCCAACCAACTGAAATTTTAGAAGCTGAAGCTGGTTCAGTTATCTATGCTCCAATTGAAATTCAAAACCAAACCAAATGGCCTTGGAAGAGAGGTTGCTTTATTGGTCTCCTAGATAGAAATGCTAAGAGTGAACTCGTAGTAGGAGATGTTCCCGTTGATTTTGAAGTAAGAGGATTGTAAACTTTCAAGTTAAACATTCCCATTCAAATTCCAGTGAACATCGACACTAGCAATAGTGATCTATTTGAGTTGCAACTCGCATTCTTCGGACCTAAAGGAAGCTCCTTTGGACAAGTGCTTAATTTGAAGGTTAAGATTATTGACTCTGTTGCTTCTCAAGAGAAACTTTACAGAGCTGCTATTACAATGACTGAAGCTGGAATAGCTAGCTTTGACGAATGCGTTGAAGCTTTGAAGCAATTTAAGGGAGATGAAAATGCTGCTTGCCAATATTTGATTGAAAAAATCCCAGGATTCACTCCAAACTGAGGATCCTAAAAATGACCAAATGATTTTAGCTAGACAACCTTGCCAAAACTTGCTAAAATCTTAAACTTCAAGTTATTAATTCATGTTAAAACCTTCAATATATACATTTTTTATTTTAATATCAGTTTTCAATATCTATTAACGGGGTTTTGGGGTTTTGGGGTTTTGGGGTTTTGGGGTTTTGGGGTTTTGGG